TGCCAGCAAACGGATTTCATTTCTAAGTGTCTTAATCATAGGATTTATCTGGCAGCCTTTCAAAAGTGTTGCTGCAATTACCTTTTTTTTTCTTGTAAGCTAGGATTAGTGTAATACAAATACAGGTAAGTTACCACATGACAATACCGTATTTGTTAGGACTTCATCCAGATTTCTTGGAAAATAAATTATTACTTAAACCTGATTTGGATGAACACCTGTAATAATTACAAAGGACACAATAAACAGTGCAGTAGGAGAATACAAATGTTAACTCTGCCTCTATTTTCTAAGGAGCAGGAAGGAAAAATAGAAGGAAAGGAATAATATAAAGGAAATGAAGAGAAAAGCAGAACAAAGAATCAGGTTGTGTATGAGCTGAGGAAATGGGGTACAAGATGCAAAAAACAACCTTTTTAGATCCTAATGATGACTGCATTAAGGAACAACTAGGTAGATGACAATCCAAGAGGGCAAATACCCTCATTATAGTTCAAGTAGCACATGCACAGAGCCTGCTCTAGAATTTTAGCACTGAAGAACTGCATAGAAACAGTGGCTTGAGCTTACTCTACAGGACCAAAAAGCACAAAAAAATCCCCAAATCCACCTATGCTCACTAAAAAAAAAAAAAAAAAAAAAAAAAAGAAAAAAACCCCAAAAAAACAAAATGAGGAAACTGATGTAAGACAAAGCTCATGCGGAGACTAAAAGGAGTTGAGCTCTTACAGGTGCCAATTGCTGGAAAAAAAAATTACGGAGAGATAACAAATTTGTATCGCCAATCAAGAATGTCCTGAGAAAGGTTGAGAGGAAGTTGGCACAAATAAACATCAGGAATAAGGCAAGTTACTAGAGAAAACCTTTTCTGTGCAAAAGCTGAAATGTATTAAAACCAAGTCAAAACAGATCATGAGCATAAGATGAATGCCCCAATACAGAAAAATATACAGAAAAAAAAATTAAATTAGCATATAGATCTGGAACAACAACCTTAACCTCAAGAGCCTAAGGCCAGTGGATGATTATGATGATGATATAAAGAACCCTCAGAGAAGAAAAGGCCTTATCCAGTTGGCAAAATGAGTTGTTGTCATCTGCTTGCACTTTGGAAGAGAAAGATTTAAAATTACAGTTCTTCTGCTTGGCAAAGAGGCACACAGGAGTGAGATCTAGTCTAAATGACCAGAACAATCATAATGGCATAAAGCGTTTGCATTTTCCAGTGTTTCACATTAATTATCAAACGAGCCCTATGAAGTATCTGGAAATGGCAAGCCCAAAGCAGAAAAAGTTTGTCAAAAGATACTGACAACCTCCACAGCTCCTCCCTCCTCTCTTTCTAAAGGAAAAAAAAAAAAACAACAAACCCAATTCTGTGGTCAACAATCTTGGCCAGAATAGGAGTAATTTAGTGCTTGCTTTTATTTAATGTGTTATGCTATTTCCTTTACCAATAACACCCAAACTCTACTGCAGTGCTATTTTAAGCAGTGGTATGTCAGAAACCATTTAATTATTAGCTTAAAGTGAATATTGTTTTATTTTTCCCCTCAAAGTGTATTTCTTACTATCGATGACATTTTCATTGGCAGTTAATGGGAATTTGTGTGCCCTTTATTCTCCCTTACAGCTACAGAATCCCTCACCCTTCTCATGGGTTACATGAAGTCCCAGAACCCTGATGAAATCTCGGTTCATTTTCCTCTTGCTGTTGTTGCCAGTTTCTCATACAGTGATTATTTTAATTCTGAGAGGCTTGAATTTTCCTCATGTCCTCCATTCCCTTGCCTTCCTTGGGGGCTGTGGTAGCATCCTCAACTTTTTGTTTTTTTCAAAGCCAGTATTTAGCTTTATCTCACATTCATAAAACCATGGAATCACAGAAATGTTAAGAACTGATGCCAGGCAGGCCATGGGCCTTGCAGACGAAGCCGACACACATCCACTCACCCATGAAGAGTGTCCTTTAAAATATCTAAATGCTGCAGGTACCATCCCACCATCACCAACTGTATAACATCCATGGGATTTCAGTAGCTGCTCGTCTCCGCTGCTTTCACTTGTTTATACAGGGAACTGACAGAAATTGCCATTTCCAAGTCTAAACTGTTTCCAAACACCTTATCAAGTGACATTCTATGCAGATGTTGATCAAGAACTGTTTATGTCTGCTTATGAAAAATGCACAGTGGATTTTCTTTGCATATCATCTGTTGTTTAGGTGCTGTTTACTTTCAGTTCTGAACAGAAATCTTTTATTTTAACTCGTTCCCTTCATCATCCGCTGTTCTACAAGTCTTTGCACCCTGACAAAAGTAAAAAAACTTCACCATGGCCTGATCTTTTACTTTCCAGCTTGTACAGAGAATTTTTTCTTTACACTCTGAAAATTTGCCGAATGTTTCTAATATTTTCTCTTTTTTTCTTTTTAAATTTGTGAGTCTATCAAATAATGTCTCAAACTATTTTGAAGTATGATTTTTTTCTGTTTTTCTAGAACAGTGTTTAAACAAAGAAGGATCAGTGTACCTTCTTTTTAACCTACTGAGGCATCCTTAGCTTTTTTAGGCATGTACACATCCCTAGAATTGAAATACTTCTTCCTCTAATTGTTATGGAAAAGCGAGCTTTGTTTTATAGTTCCAGTCATTTTCTGTTGGATGACGTCACTAGGTTTGTTGTTAATTGAAATAAAACAGTAGAGATGTGGTGAGCTAGAAAATGGATGTTGGCACTCAGAGTTTGCTAGGCAGAGGGGGAAAATATACAGAACTTCACATCAGGGGAAAAAAAAAATATTTGGAACCCAGAAGTACCAACTAAAATGTCACTGACATAAAGAGGTGGCATTGCCCAAGAGGCCTGGCTGAAGTGAATGTTTGCTGGATGATTTGTAGCAACCTAAATAAGGTGAAATTGTTTTGGAGACGTAGCCCACCTCTCGTGATAGTCTGTGAGCTGCTACCTTCAAGTATAAAGACAACAGAAATACACAATGAAAAATCACTGGTGAGCCCCTGCTTAAATTCTGACCATGGAACCTGAAGTAATTTTCTCCCATCTGAGGTTTCTTTTCACAAAGAGCCAACTTCATATGCTTTAATAGATTATCCAGGCACTTATGTTCCAGTGAGAGCGAGGAGGCAGAACGACTTCACTTTTCAAATTAAAGAACCACGTATGCTTCTGGAGAAAGAATAAACTTGAAGAGAACAGGGACAAAAAGCTGCAGCAGAGGAGACAGAAAAAGGCATTACTGACATTAGATCTACTGTGCAAGTGGTTTTTACAGTGCAATTGGCAGAGATCCAGAGGCTGGAAGGTAAAAAAGGGGGATCCAGGGTGGGTGTGAAGGAGTCCAGGGTGAGGTGAGGGGTTCAGGGGGTGTCTGAGGAACCAGGGGGTGTGTGAAGGGGCCCAGGGTGTGTGGGGTGCAGGGGATGTGTGAAGAACCAAGGAATGTGTGAGCAGGTCCGGGGGCAATGAGGATGATGGGGGCACTGGAGCATCACTCTTGAGGACAAGTGAGTGAGCTGGGCCTGTTCAGCTTCGAGAAGAGGCAGCTGAGGAAAAACCTCATCCTTGTTTATAAATATGAGAGGGGGGTGCCAGGGAGATGGAGCAGGGCTCGGTTTGGTGATGGTCAATCACCAGGGCGAGAGAAAGGGCAGGAACTGAAGCACAGGTACAGTCCACCTGAGCATGAAGAACTTCTCCCCTGTGCAGTGACCGAGCACGGGAACAGATTGTCCAGGGAGGAGGGTGTGGAGTCTCTGTCTCTGGAGACATTCCAGAGCCGAATGGTCACAATCTGGTGCCATGTGCTTTGGGAAGACCCTGCCAGAGCAGGGAGACCAGATCAGATGACCCTGTGCGGTCCCTTCCAGCCTGACCCAGTCTTGTGATTCTGTGGGGTGGCTGAGGAACTGGGGGGTGTGAGGTGGTTCGTGGGGTCTGTGAAGAACTGGGGGTTTGTTAGGGCATCTGGGTGTATGTGAAGGACCAGGGGGTGTGTGTGAGCAACAGGAGGGATGCGAGGCGATCTAGGGGTACATGAGGGGTCCAAGGGGCTGTGTGAGGCACCAAAGTATGTGAGAGCTCTGGGGGTGTGTGTGAGGGGAACCGGGGGTATCTACAAGGGGCCCAGGGAGTGTGTGAGAGGTCCGGGTGTGTGTGTGTGTTTGTGTGTGTGTGTGTAATGGATCAAGGGATTTCTGAGGAGATCTGGCGATGTCTATCAGTCCGACAGTACGTGTGAGGGACTGGAGGGGGAACTGAGGGGATCTGGGGTGTGCATGGGAAGTCCGGGCCGTGTGTGAACGCTCCGGGGGTGTCTCAGGGGATCTGGGGGTATGTATGGGAGGTCAGGGGTGCGTGAGGGCTCCGGGGGTGTCTGAGGGGATCTGGGGATGTGCATGCGAGGTCCGCGGTGCGTGAGGGCTCCGGGGGTGTCTCAGGGGACCTGGGGGTGTACATGCGAAGCCCGGGGCCGTGTGTGAACGCTCCGGGAGTGTCTGAGGGTATCTGGGGGTGTGCATGGGAGGTCAGGGGTGCGTGAGGGCTCCGGGGGTGTCTGAGGGGATCTGGGGGTGTGTATGCGAAGTCCGGGGCTGTGTGATGGACCGGGCGGGTGCCTGAGGGGTCTCGGGGGCTCCCGAGGGGTCCGGGCTCTGTGAGGCACCGCGCGGTTCCGAGCGCCCCCACGCTCCTCTCGCGAGACGTGGCGGCGGCCGGCGGGGCTGTGCCGGGCGGGATCGCGGTGCGGCCCCCCCCCCCGCTCCTCCCAGCGGCGCCGCGGGGCGGATGCGGCGGGGCCGCCATAGTGCGGGCGGGAGGAGCCGCCGCCGCCCCGCCGGGGACGCGCTCCCGCCGCCCCCTCCGCCGCAGCCGGGAGCGGGCGGAGCCTGCGCGGCGCTGCCGGCTTTTTTCCCCCCGCATCCCTCCCGCCGCGCCAGCTGAGGAAGCGACCGCGCTCCTGCCTGGGCAGAGCGGGATCGGGCGGAGGGACCGGAGGCACCGTCACCTGGCGCTGCGGCGGGGGCGGGGCGCGGCGCCTTGTCTGCGGCAGCCCCGGGGCGCTGTTCGGCCGCTTAAAGCAGCGGGGCCGCCGGCCGGGAGGGGCGTTCGGAGCAGTGGCGGCCGCAGAGCGAGGGGAAGGCATGGAGGGCAAGGATCTGGCAGCGGGGTCCGCGGGGGATGAGGGCTCCAAGGATGCGCTGGGCAAGCCGCTGGGTCCCACGCCGAGCCAGAGCCGCTTCCAGGTGGACCTGGTGGCCGAGGGGCCCCGCAAGTCATGCGGGGACATCGGCGTGGCGGGTAAGGGAGGCGAGGAAGCCAAGGGCAGGTTTCGGGTGAACTTCGTGGACCCCTCGGCCGGCGGCGAGAGCCCTGGCGAGCCCGGGGGAGGCAGCTCCGAGGGCGGCAACGTGAGCGGCGTCCAGAACGGCGGCGACACGGTGATGAGCGAGGGCAGCCTGCACTCGGGCGGGCACCACCACTACTACTATGATACCCATACCAACACCTACTACCTGCGCACCTTCGGCCACAACACTATGGACGCCGTGCCCCGTATCGACCACTACCGGCACACGGCCGCCGACCTGGGCGAGAAGCTGCTCCGGCCCAGCCTGGCCGAGCTGCACGATGAGCTGGACAAGGTGAGAGCGGCCCCCGGGCTCCCCCGGCGCCGGGGGTGCGGCGGTTTCTCGGAGTGTGTCGGCAGAAAAGCTTAAAAAAAAAAAAAAAAAAAAAAGCCGAAAGCTCACCGAGCCTCGAGCAGGCGCAAATAGCGCGGGTGCATAGCTTGCGTCTCAGTTCTGTTATATATATATTTTTTTTGTCTTTTCGTGACGCAGTGGTATCCATCCCCCCACACACACGTGCTTTTGGGAGATGGTCGCCCAGTGGGAGAGGTGTTTAGAGCCGTAGGTCTGTTTCCCCCGTCAGCGAGCGGGGATCTCTTACAGGTTTTCCACTTCCAAATCGCCTCCAGCAGATAGGGTATTGATTCGGATAGGGTATTGATTCGGGGGCTCGCCGTGGGAATCAGTCTGGGAAGGGAAGTGAAAACATTTGGTAGAGACGCTGAAAAAAAAAAAGTAAATAAATAAGGATGCGCTTGCTTTGGTAGCGGCTTTTGGTAGGTTTGTCTCTGCGGCGCCGAGGCAGAGCCCGCTGGACCCGATGGGATCGGGATCGGATGCTGCTGGATCTGCACAGGCACAGATCCTGAGCGAGCCCTCCCAGGGCTGCTCGGTGCCTCCTGCGCCGCCGTCAAGGCTTGAAAAATTTCGGAGCTGTGCGTCTGAAGCTGCTTTTCTATTTTGGACTACGAGTCCGTGTGTTATTTGAGACGAGTTGACAGTGAGAGCCTTCTTTGCATTGCAGGCTGGCTTGGCTAGAAGACCAGCTTTAGCTGAACATAGAATTAATTTCCTAGATTTTTTTTTTTTTTTTTTTTTTTAAGCTATCATCACTAAACTAACTCCAGATAAACATTAAGCTCTTGCAGTGCTGTTTTTCTCACAGTTTGAAAATTGGTGTATGGCTGTGCTCAGGAGCCTGTGTTTTGAGTGGGGTCTTTCTGCTGGGTTTAGGGAAATAAAGGAACACAGGGACCACATTCCAAGGAAGTGAATATTTTGTTTCCAGAACTTTTTTTTTTGCATCCCACTTTTCACTCCTCATAGGTGAAGTTCCATGAGGAAAGGTGTGTTCTTTCCGGATTTACTTGTTTCACACCATTTTATTAGGGTGCTCGGTGCATCAGCACTGATATGTGGGGTTTGGGGTTTTTTTAGGGACTGTTGGTGATCCTTTAAGTGTACTTTTGACACTGACTGTGGAATTGTTCCAATAGAAATAACTCGTTGGTGTATTGCAAAGATACTTGTTTGTGACATCTGAGATAAGATGTCAGATTTTAATTACTAACCAGCACTGCAAATTACTCCTGCCTTCCAGGTCCCCTTTTGATGGAGCCAAATGATGATCTGTGGTCTGATTCTAAGTTAGTATGAAATCGAAATTGACAATTACTGCTATGTGTTTGGAGCTGGGTAAACTATAAATAAAACACATGTATGTGCTCATGTAGTACATGTGAAACCACGTTGGTTTTCTGTCCTCTTGCTTCCCCAAATTTCTGACTCCTGGTCCATGATGGGATGACCAGCTGTTGGATACTCAGCGTTGTAAGCAGAACATTTCTCAAATTTCTAAGGTTGGCACATGGCATTTTCAGTGCGTTGCAGCACTGTGGAAAGCTCTTTGGTACCATTAAGATATTTCAGTGCAGAATACAACATATTCTGGAGGTACATTTTCTAAAATTGTAATTTCTTTTTTAAGAAGAAATTTATGGCAAGGAATTTTCTTTGTAGTCTGTGGCATAGAGGAGTGGTAGACAACCTAATTACAGGATCATTATCAAAACAGTTTTATAGTGAGCATTAATTAAGTCAAATTATTAATTTCTTAAGTGTCATGAATTCGTTCTGCAGTGTGGATAGATGTACATGTGAAGATACTTCTTTTTTTAAAGCCATGCCCCGTCTGCTTGTGCCCCTCCTCCCATTAAATAAATGTTGGGGTGGAATATGGAATTTCGGTTGCATTTGATATTAATTTTTTAAAAGGTCACAATATAAACTTCAGAATTTTAAGTTGAAGTTCAGTGGAGTAACTCAAGTTTTCTGTTGCAGGATGTTTAATGTCCAACGCAATTAAGGTGTTAGCAGCTACTTAGGCTTATAAGAAGTAGAGAAGCCATTTATTTTTGCTTCCAACTTAGCAAAACACTTTCCAGTTAAAGCTGTGAACGGAAAAGCTTTTAATAATAATAGGGGTGTGTTGTGCATGCTAATAGCGTTGGATACCTACATTCCTGGCAATCTCATGTCAATCTCAGGGGATTATGAAGTACATCCCATCTCTGATTATGTACTTGGTTTGCAAACACAGAGCCCTGATAACTTTTACATCAAGATGGTTTTGTGCTTTTATGTGAAGATGTTCTCAAAGCTGTTGTGCTTTTTTTTTTTTTTTTTTTTACTGTTGCCAGGGGGCTTTTTTGTCTCCGTTCTCAGAGTGACTTCAGTTCCCGCTGACTAGCAGGTCTCTACTGTTGGGTAGTGCTGTGTGCATTTGGGAAAGCAGCTTGAACAATTAACCTTGCTCTTTAGCTGTGGGTTCTGTACCAGTTTATCAGGTACAGCACGTCTGTGCAAGGCAGCTGGTACATCCTAGCACCCTTACAATAAAGTTTGCACAGCCTATTGTTGTGCCTCTGCTCTTGACCCGGTGCATCAGGAGCGGCAGATACTTTGTGTAAAGACTGGATCCAAAGCCGGTATGGTTCACTGCTTTGAATGCAGCTATTTTATCCAGCAGTTAGAGTTCCTGCTATTCCCTTTGCTTTTAATAAGTGGATAAATGTGAGGCAACGTTGGAGCATTGTCGATGCCAGTGCCCAATATAGAACAGATTTTTTTTCTTTTCCTTTAGCTTTGTTTAGAAGCTTCATCTAACACTTCTACTGATTCTGTTCTCACAGAAAAGCAGTGTTGGAAGAAGAGTGACTGTTTGGGGAAGACACACACGTGTACTGGAGGGGTCCCATTTCCAAAGGGTTTGTCCTGCAGTCCTGCTGGGATGGGTCTTTGTGTGGTCATTCCAGCAGTGGCTTTTCTCATAGGAAAGGGATTGTTCTTGAGACTGGCTGTGGAAACACAGCTGGGTGATGCTGGAGCACTCTGAGGTGGATGAATTGCATAACACTGGTCTTGGTTGATCATATTAAACTCCAGGTGAGGGGTCTTGCTTTAGCATGTCATTGACTGCAGATAACTAAGGTGGTCAGTCTGCTCCTTACCCAGTTGGTACGTGTTGATTTCTCTCTGCTTTAGAGAGATGAGAGAGAGAACTTGGTGATGCTGTTGCAGTTGCTGTCCTGTAAAGAGAATGTGTTGCAGGAGCTCTGGTCTCCGGAGATGTTGAGGTGAGAGGGTGTTTATTAGCAAAGAAGTGGGAGGGAAGTCAGCATACCACGTCATGCAGGTTTTTCTTGCACTGGTGTCCCCTGCCCTCTTGAGGGGGATCTCTCTTCAGACCATGGGAAGATTAAAAGTGTTCTTTTCTTAATTTTTTTTTTTTTGCCTGTCTTACAGCTTTTCTTGGGTCAGCTACATCTGTACACAAAGATACAGCCTGTAGAAATACTGCACATGCCTTTGTGCCCCTCACTTTATCAATACCATGTCATAACATCACACATCTTACTGTTCTGACAAGTGTGTACTGTTAGGGTATTCAGCCCTGCACACTGTAACCCGCTGAAATAATTTAGGATTTTTCTGTATAGCATTGAGTGATTTGGGGAGGTTATTATTATTTTTTTTTTTTCCTTTAAGACTAGATCTCGCTGTGTATGAGTGGTTCTGATTTGATCTTTGTGCAGTCCCTCGCAGCTGTGCTGAGTGGATGTGGTGTGAACCAAGCCCTCTGCTGGCAGCTCTGCTCTGCTGTTTGTTAAATACTCACCGGGAGCACTGACAGGGTAAGGTGCTGATCTCAGAGGAAGATCCCTACACCACCTCCACCCCATCCCCATCAGGATCAAGTTATTAATCAAAACAAAAAGAAATCCCAAGGTATTTAAAAACACAAGTATGCTTTGCTTCCTCCCACACAAAAATCTGTGCACCTGTCATTTGAATTTGGAGACAAGTGTAAGAAAAAAGGCAATTACTGGTAATCCTGATACAAATTGAGGGGGTTTTTGTTTGTTTTTACTCCAGTGGGATGACTGTAATTGTTTTCAGTTGTCTTTCAGGCTTTGTTAAGTATTTTCTCAAACGCTGCAATTATTCCTCTGACCTGACAACTTCGAATGTTTAACATAAGCACGGTGAAAAGGTCTGTGTATGGCACTGCTCTCTAACAAAAATGTTTTCTGTCTTGAGAATGTTGAACAACTGCTGCATCTCTAATATTTGTTTAGTTGTATTTTCTTTCAATTTGTGGTTTATGTTCGCTTAGCCTGTAATAAAAGCAGAATTCAGCTAAAGATGCATAAAAGGCTAAAAGATTGTAGGATATCAAGCAAGCTGACCCTGTTATGTAAGGTCTGTATTTAAGAGGTCCTTCTTTCCCTCTCACAGAAGATTGGGACCCTCTTGCAGATGGTTTTTATTGCACCACCTTGCTGAATCTTGTCTACAGTCTGGACGTCTGTTTCTTTCTTCAGTCCCTGTTACTTTTAATTTAAATTACATTTCCTTCTTGCTGTCCCTCATACATGTGAGCAGAATTTGAATCTTCTTTCTGAAGTTCACTGTACTAAAATTAAACAAGGGAAGCTCTCTTAGTCTTGGTCTCAGTGCTGTTGTGTGTCCCAGAAGCCTATAATTGGTAACTGTTCTTTCATCAGTTTTAAACAGCAGTGACCTTAATGCACCTGTACTCAGGCTTTACTTGCACCGTGCAGAGGAATGTTTTTATGCTTTTTCAGCCTGTGTCAAGAATCCTCACTTTACTTACACTGATGCCCCACTTAAGCACAACTATTTTTATCAAGGAAAAAATGAGTGTACCGCTCTGTTTGCAGTAAATAATATTGGAGTTCCAGGGGTTGTATTTTATAAAGACCTTGTATAAT